GTACGTGTGTATTTGCGAGTATTTTGTGTGTGTGTGTGTGTGTGTGTGTGTGTGTATGCATTCAGACTACCGTTTGAGATTTCTACTGAGAATCGCTGTCGAATAGTTGAAACGCTCAAGATTCATACTATTGAGAATCATTCTCGAAAAATAGAAATCACAACTTTACATCGAATTTGAAACCTCGTTATCGTGATACTGCGTTTTGCGAAATTATTCGACAAATTTATACAATATACGTGAGAAAGTATTCGCGCCTTTTTAGTTTAACGTATTTTTATTTTTATTTAGATGCACGTGGAAAACATTACGTTAATGAAGAACAAATTCGATGATTTTGGCACCAACGGTCTTCACAGCTCACGATAGCGATGATTTACGCTGAGATCCATCGCGATTGCGTTTGCTTAAGACTTATCGGTGCGTATTTAGTTTTGTATGAATGTATTCGTATGTGTATGTGTGTGTGTGTGTGTGTGTGTGTGTTTTATCATCGTAGGGCTCGGTGGTAATCTACATTGACAGTGCGAGGTTCGACAAAATTCTCGATGAGAATGGAGAATGATTGACTCTCATCATTCCTTTGTTGTTCTCAACTTTATGATTGTACAAACCGACGCGAGAATGGAAAGTAAGGAAATAAGTTCATATATATATATATATATATATATACACATATATACAAGAATTATTGTATCGAATCGTAAACTTTCTATGTAAATCACTTAACTTTCTTTTAAACAATTAATGGGACTGTCACAAAGGATTTAATTTTTTAAAAATTTGCTTTTTGCACATCGAAAAGTATTTATAAACAGCCGCGGCGATCTGCATACTCGTCGGTGTGTACGAACCTTAATTCGAGATCCGACGGTGAGGAAAAATGCGTGGAAGAAAGACGCTGGTCATTCGAGAGGATGCGAGAGACAGAGAAATCAGTGTAATATACATATATGTTTCTTGTGTACAAATGTATGAGTACGAGTTCTTTACTCCCTCGAAAATGTAGGAAGGGCGATGAGACTGATTGGCTGGTCTTCGTTGTTCCTCCCTCGCGTGGCTGCTGTCGTCATGAGAGAACACTCGGAGGTTACGCGGGTAGAGGAGGTGCTGAGATCAATTAGTCGGCTGCTGAGAGAGAGCTCCAAGCTCACTCCGCTTACTTCTTTTTCGCTGCGACGGCCGCGAAATCCTTCATCAGCGAAAAAGATTCGCCGATAGTAAGGGCGATCGATGAAGATGAGAGATGATGGTACAAGGGAGCAGCCGTTGAATCAACGAGAATCGACTGGTCTGCGCTTCGATCCGCTTTTCCATTTCTCTTTTCACTCTTCCATCGCTCGACACACATGTTGTTTTCTTCTTGTGTTGTCTTTTCGATTGAGCGCATTAGTTTAAATAGCGCACAGACTAGGATGCTCGGGGGGGACACGTTTCTCTTCTCAAAGATGCCTTGTTTCCATTCACTCTCGAGATTCTTCGTACGCGTGAGAAGAGGATCGGAAAACGCGAGACTAGACTAGAGTCGAGCCGACCGACGCGCGTGGACGAGCTCGCGTCTCCCGAAGGATGGACTCTCCCCCCCGTGTGTAGCAGGAAGTCGCTCCAAGCTGCTGAGACGAGGCCTGACGAAATGCAGATCATCGACGGTGCTCCATTTTCACTTTTTTTTTCTTTTCTTTTTTCGTAGGAGACGAGAGCGAGAGCGAGAGCGAGAGAGAGAGAGAGAGAGAGAGAGAGAGAGAGAGAGAGAGAGAAGGAAGAAAGGAGACCGAGAAAGGAAGGGAAAAATAGAAAGGAAAAGGACGAGAGAGAGAGAGAGAGAGAGAGAGAGAAAGAGAAGAAAAACGCAAAGGAGGGAAGAGACGCACGCACGTTTGGAGTTCACAAAAGGTTGAGGAGCGCGCGGACGTACCCGGTCCGACGCGACACAATCATCACGCGGGATATCACATATCACGAGATGCACGTGCGCTTATATATATAGTAGATCATTTCAGAAGCGTAGACACGAGCGCGGCGGCGAGCCCGGCGATTCAGCTGGAGACGTACGCGGCGATCTGCTCGCTGAATTGCGTGTGTTCCAGCAACAGAGAGTCTTTGCAGGTTTCGAATTGTTGCTGTTGTTGTTGCTGGGATGGCGACGGCATAATAGTTGGTGCTTGTTGATGTTGCTGCGAATGATGGTGCTGGTGTTGTTGTTGTTGATGATGATGTTGATGCTGATGCTGTTGCTGCTGCTGCTGCTGGGAGATCTCTTCCACGTTCTCGGCCTCGGTACGCTCGTACAGCACGCAGATGGAACCATTCTCGCCGATTCTGTACGATACTTCCGACGGGTCGATCCACATGGTAAGCTCGCTGGGGAATAGACTGTGCAGTACCGTCGGCAACAGGCCGACGTTCGCACCAGCCTGCGCGATTACCGGATCCATTTTACCGTTGATGCGTATGCAACGATAGCCGGAGCCGCGATTTGGCCGATCTGGGAACCAGTGATCCCGATAACGGTGGCGCAACACCTCCGTCAATGATGATTTGAACATCTCCAGTTGCCGTTCCGACAGCTGACCCGCCTGCAGGCGCAGCAGGTGCACCAAAAAATCCGCCGCCGACACGATTTCCAGTCTCATGGTCGGTGGTGACCCAGGGCGAAGGCGTCGATGACAATAATCCAATAGAAAATTCTCTCTCTCTCTCTCTCTCTCCTGTATCGCGATGGGATGAAAGCCACGTCGATGACGCACTCGATCTTGCTCAAATATATGGGCACTGTTTATCTCTCTCTTTTTTTCTCTCTCTCCGTCTCGCTGTCTCTCGCGATCCACGGTTCCGAAGGCGAAAAGCCACCGCTACTCCACGCCGTTTTATACCGATTGAAGGCGATGAGTATCAGAGATACGCGCGTGTCACGGGTCACGGCGCGGCGATGAGTAAGCTCGACGGCGTTGATGCCGAAAGAAGCGCACAGTACCAGTCACCACAAAATGGCGTCGTCGCCACGTCGCTGCGTAGCACTCTACAGCGCTCGTCGTACGTCCTCGACCCTCCAGCGCGATGGGCTAACCGCCGGAGCGTCCCTCGAAGATCCTCACCGATGAGGATGCAATCCGGCGCACGATAACAGATGTAACAGATGTATGTGGAGGATCGATTTCGGATCGTCGTCGGGTGAGCGTCCACGCGTCGTTTCTCAACGCTCGCTTCGTTGCCTGCCAATTCGCCTCCTCGTTGTCGACTCGTCCACGCGAGTTTCTTAACAGTGCTCGCGGATAAAAGGCGCGCTTTCCGTTTCACGCTTCGTTTCACCGGATCGATTCCGACAATTCGGCCGATCCGGGACCGTCGCGTCGGTAGGTCGGAGTTGCTAGAGCTGATCTCTAAAGCCGGGCTTGTCTCTCCGAACTGTCCTTCCACTGCCACTCTCTTCTTTCTTTCCGTTGTCGTCGAGTCCCGGCAGACTGGCAATTCAGACTGATAAAACTTGATCGCGACGTGATCGAACCGATGGATCAGCTCTTTTTATCTTTCTCCCTCTCGTTCTCTCGATCCAAACTCGCGGAGGTTCCGCGTTCATCGACTACCGACGACTTTCTAATGGCAGAGCTCACGAGCACGAACGGGGTAGCCTCGTCTCTTTGTTCAAGTGACGCCGAATGGGGGTTACATATCGCGGCATCGACCAATCCTGTATCGACGGCGCCCACCGCGACACACCGTCACGTGATCCAGCGCGCTGCGCATGGTAGATGGTAGTTGCTGCAGCCGCGTCGCCACTCGCCCGCGTCCCGAATACGCGGACCAACGCGGACCCTGCCTGCCTGTCCGCCGTCTGCCGTCTGGCTGCCTGTGCGCGATGTCAGCGATTCTCAAATCGCTCCGAACTTGGAACTTAACCTCGCTACAACCTCGCATATACAAATATTATTCTATTACTGACAAATGTCATTACTCAATTTAATTTCTTTTTGTTTTTTAAGCTAACGAGGTTATTTCTAACAAAAAATATTTTCTCGATAATTATCTTAAAATTTATTTCAAGTTTTAGCAAAATTATTACATGTATTCGAAACAAGAATTTATTTTCTTTTCAAGAATATCATAAAATTGGTCGATGAAACAATTTTTTAATAAATAATTGAATTTGTTTTAATTTAATAATCTTTAATTTGTAATAAATTAGCGAGGATTCAGAATATATTTTAAATAAATTTGATACTTGTAACAAACTTATGATAAATTTGCAAACTTACTTACTTAGGAACTTTTGAATACAAGTAATTATTACTTGCGTACTGTATGTATTTTTCTGTGTGTATGAAAACCGAACGATAACCATTTATATCTATATATATATATATATATAAAAATTCAATTGTGTCGCACCGCGTATGCAAAACAATCCGTATTAAACTTTATTATCTTTGCTCGCACAAACAAACCGGAATTTCTGATTATTTTTAATAATTGACCCCTATCATTTTTCTTTTCTATAAAATGCATCATTTAATTGAGAGAAACTGCAAAAGATATCTCGGAAATATTATCGCGTGTCTTTCTAATTCTGCCTTATAGATAGTAGATTCTGTATTATAGATAGCCTAATGTTATAACTTCTTTGAATCAAAATACTCGATGAGTATTATATCGATCGATATTGAATTGATAATATAGTTTTAAGTTGTGAATTATATATTACAAGTTTGCGAAATCATTCCTATCTCTCTGATGGATAAAAATGTTTCTTCCAATAAAATTCAAATTTGCAAGTGTAACTAATTCAAAGAACTGATACTCATCAAATCGTTCGATGTCGTGCAGTCTCTAAATCCCATGTAAAATTTCTAGCGCAAAGCCAAGGGAGTAGCACTTTATTGGCTTCTACAATTCTACAGTACGACCGCAGAGTCAAAGTTACACCAGATTACCGGTTTCCATTCTACTACCACGTTCCTAATTGGTTGCGTCAATCTAGCAAGTCTAGCTGTGAGCACCACTGACCCCACAAGTTTTTAAGTACAAATCTGAACGAGGGAACGAGCAAACGAGCGAGCGAGCAGGGAACTAACGCCGACTGCTAGAAAGCGCGTAGATTACAATACCATACAACTATACACACGACGAGCTTGACGACCGTCGGGGTAGTGGCATGAAAACCACTCTGTCCGGGATTTAACCTGAAACTCGAACAACGTGTTCGGCATGGGGAAAAAAGTCCAGCCCCTTTCCCGCGGTACCCCTTTCCCTTAACCCTTTGATGTTCAAGTTTTGTACCCTTTCGAAACGCTTCAATCAACGAAATGGAAGGGAAGGCCGTGGACATTATTTCGTTCACTCATTTCGAGCCTTATTGTATACTTACTGTATAATGTACAGTACAGAGTGGATATATTATTTAAAAAAAAATCATTATCCTTCGATCAGAGATCTAGAACAACACGCTGAAGGATGCGATTCCCGTTGCCTTTTTCCCTATATTTTTACAGCCTCAAGCCACATAAGATTTTGCCTTTCCCTATCCCTCAGGTTTTGAATAAGATTATACAGAATATTATACAGAATTATAAATTATTTAAATAATTTATTGGCTCATTTAATTCTGTCAGGAACCCCTTTTATATTATCATTTATAGTTATTATTGAATCAATAGGACTAATTATCCGCCCTTTTACGTTAACTATTCGTCTAACTGCAAATATAATTGCAGGCCACTTATTGCTAACTCTTCTAGGCTCCTCAGGAATCAATATTACTAATCCTGCCACATTTTTAATTCTAATTTCCATTCAAATCTTACTTTATATTCTTGAAATTTCAGTATCTATAAAGCTTATGTATTCTCAATTTTATCTACTTTATCTACAGCAGAGAAACTTAAATTATTATCAATTATTATAACAAATCATGGCCATAACTAACCGCGTTTGACATGGACATTTTCGTCGTCGAATTGCGAAAGTCTGACCCACCGGAAGGTGAGTCGGAATTCAATGTATCCTCCCTTGTAAAGGTATGAAAACGGATCTGATTTGCCAACCGCGTCGCTATGTAGAGCATTTCGCTCGTAATTCCGGGAGTTTGCCACTGCCAAGTTGGCAACTGAGCGCCGATCGATAAGCCCAGATTATCGTGGGCCAACCCTGCGAAAATTCACGAACCGCACGCGAATTTCCCTGCGTCGAGAATTCATGCTGGCGCGGCGCGCGAGTTGTACAAAAATCGTTTCGCGACGAAAATTGTCCCGTTAGAATAAAGAAGTAATTTAACTTTCGTGCTTCGTCGTGTAAAGACTAAGTAAAGATTCTATGATAAAATCTGGTCACGACGAGTAGTCAAAATAACTGTCAAAACAAAAATGAGAAAGAAGGGTTATCAAATGTTATCTTCCAACTTATATTCCAACTTATACTATCTTAAGCCGCCCATGGCCACATATAAGAATATAAGGCAGTAAAAGAATCAGCCAATCACAGTAGAGAAGGTTATTGCCTTATGTTTTCTATTGTTATCAGCTAATTCGCTTATTGCTCACGTCTTACCATCTTACGTTTTTTTCTATCTGCTCCGGTTTTACTCATTCCAACTTACTAAAGTTGACAAAAATGATGAAGCAATAAAAAATTTGACATCTCATGGTGAACTAAATTCTGTTATAATTTATCGAAAGTTTCAAATTTATTCAAAATATATTCTGAATCCAATAGTAAGTTTAATACTTTTATGCAGATTATTAAATTAAAAACAAATTCGATTTACTTATATAGGGTCTCTAGTCACGATTAGAGATCCTATAATAGTCTGATTACGAGTGATTTTGTCAAAATCCTATAAGAGAAAAATATATATTTCTTTCTTGTATATAAGTATACTATTTCTTTAACTTTTATTGTCTCATTTAATAATTTTAATTAAGATTATAAACGGTGAGACAAAAACAAAATACAGATAGAAAGATATTCTATTGATAAGAAAAGAGATAAATTAATGCTGGATTTACTTTCTTTCTTTTAAGTAACAGTTTATTTTTACCAAAGAATATTTCTTGGTAACAATCACACATATTAAAAATTTTAGAAAGACCCATTAATATATAGTCAAAACAAGAATTTATTTTCTTTGGGAGAATATAATATATAATTGATCGAAAAATCGACTTTATGTAATAATCAAATCGAATTTATTTCAATTTAATAATGTTGACTGAAGTATAATATTAAATTTCCTATGATTCAGAATATATATTTTGACTAAATTTGATACTTTTGAAACTTTTGATAAACTTATGAAAGATTTGCGGATAGGTATATGAACTTTTGAAACAAGTAATTATTATTTACGTAGAGTATATATTTTTCTGGATAAGTTAGAATAATAATATACATATACTCAGAGAGAAAGTATATTAATGTATCTTTCTCTCTCGTAGAATTTTGACAAAATAGCTCGTGGCCAGATTCAGTTGTAGAGTCTCTAGTCTAGGCGGAGGTCAACGCGTTCAC